TCAGTATTGGGATGACACCTATTATTTCCAAGTGCTGATGAGCTGCTAATGAGAAACGCTGCCATTGCGAGCAGGCAGACCACTTGATTCTGTGCTTGCTGTGAGCAATTTCACATGTAGCAGAAGTATTTTTCATCCAGATTAAATGTGCAATTTAGCCTGCATATGTTCAGAAAAGATTAATTCAAACTTGGATAGGTGCAGAATGAGAGCAGGGGAAGAACGAGGCATTAATTTCCTCGTAAGCTCAGCTCTTTTGGACTTGGCTTTAACCTTTCTAAACACAGTTCGAGAAGGGATAGAGTTGCTGTCTATAAATACATCGGGGCATAAATGTTACCGAAAGGGCAGCCCCACATCGGAACAAGCAACTACGCTTTGATGGAAAAAAAAAAATCAAAGATTTGCACTGAGATTTTAGAATAAACTCAGGGGACTATAAGGCAAGCAGAGGACTCCTATATTTTATATAGGGCTCGATGAAGCTGTCAGAGAGGCCGTGTAGCTGCTTCCTAGGAGCAGGGGATGGGACTCAATGGCCAGGCAGGTGCTGTCGCTCCTAACTTGCACATTTCTATAGCCGAAACCTTGTTCCCCTTGCTGTAAGTTATGAGAGTGTTTTATTTGTTGCTTGAGAGAGATCATTGCAGCTCAGTGCTCTAGAAGTGTTTGCCAGCTCCACGTCTCCACGTTGTTGATCCACCTCCCCAGGCTGTCCCTAGGTTGGCGTTTGCCAGCAGCTGCTGGGGACGCTGTTGGCTTACTGGGAACAAACTGGCACAGGAGCCTGGGGGCTCCTATGGAGATCTTGTCCAAAGTCAGATTTTCTAGCTTCCACAAGCTCATTACTCATATTTTCTAGTTTTCATTGAGAAGTGACTAAGACAGTATATATATTATAAATTAAAATTGTATATACAGAATCACAGAAAACATATACATATATATATGTTATACAAACATATAAATGTATATTTTTAAGCAGTCCCTACTGGAGCTGCTAGAATGCCTAGCTCCAAGGCAGCTGCCATAGCAAGGGGTGGCCCTAACCCAAGGGCTCCAGGTTTTCAATGCTCCCGGGTCAGCTGAGCCTCCAGCTACTTGCTCCCTACACAGGAAGCTCCAGGATGAGCAGGCAGCTCCAGGAACAGGCTCGACCAGGTTTTGAGCACATCAGTTGTGGGGTTACTCTGGCCGTAGGAACCATTTTTCCCGGGAAATCAGAATATATCAACGAACTAATTAGCACTCTGTCATCAAAATATTCCTCCCCGTGGTACCCTGAGGTGCTGCACATGGTTTATATGCTAGGGAGGAGCAAGGCAGCACGACAGCAGCGTGCTTGGGGACAGGAGAGCACGCACAAGGAGTGCAGCACAGGCAAGAGCAGGTGCTGGGGCTCCCGTGCAGCCCTTCACAGGGCTCTTCTAATGCACGTCAGCAAGGCGAATGCTTTTTGCCAGCTCCCGCTAGCTTTCCTGACCCCGAGACTGAAAATATGTTTGCTAGAGCACTTGCTCGTCACTGCTTGCTTGCTCAGAAGCACCTCTGCAGGTAGCCTCACTGCTGTCCATCACTGCTTTAACAATATATCTAACAGCAGCGGGATGGTCCTGTTACAAGGGCAGGTCTCTGTGTCCCCATTTGCTGAAGGTTGACCTCTGCACTGCCTTTCTGAAGCTGGATTTCTGGAAAAGAAAAAAAAAAGAAAAGAAATAAGCTGCTTTTTAAAGCTTGAGCAAAATCTCTTGGGCCTGCTTGTCTTCTGGATGGTTACATATCTACCAGATGAAAGCAAAAACAACTGGAGGGAGACTTTTTCTTATATCGCTTTTGCAAGGTAAGGTGAAATCTCCCTCTCACCTTGAAAGAAAGATTATTATCTAGGCAATTGTAGCCCACTCTGAAAAATAAATAATTACAAACTGTCGGTGTCTGGGATTCACCTCGTTGAATGGCGTGGACCGTTCAGGTTGCGTTTGGCAATCACCCACTGATCTTGTGAACAGGCCCAGCAACAGCCCTGACGAGCTACTGCCCACTGCTCTTATTTTCAAAGTAACAGACAATAAGTCTACACAAGAGCTCAGGAATTCATTAAGTCCATCCCGTGGGAAAGGATTACTAATAAATTTAAATCAGGCCAAGTCCCAAGCTTCTTCTAAACACCCAAGCCTTTCCTTAGCATGATTTCATCTTTCCTACGAATGGAGTATTTTTCCTCAAAAAAAGAAAACGAATCCTTTTACAAGCACTTAGAGGTCATCCTTCACCACAGCAGTGGGACACCCTTTGCAGAAAGCCAAAGCAAGAGCAGCGAGCGTTTCCGAACGCACGTTCACGCTGGCCTGGCCCAAGGCACGTTGTGCTGCTGCAGAGAGCTGGGGTGACCCGGCCACGTGGCAGAGTAGGTGGCATCTCGGCACTGCTGTGGAGGAGACAAGTGCCCTGGTATGTGGGGGTCCTTGTGCCTCAGACCGGACCTGGCCCAGAGCAGAGCACAAGTTTGATGCTGTGGGTCTCAAGATGCCTGCTAGCAGGGAAGAGGAGAGATCTTGGAGAGGTTGGGAGACAGTTGCCCGGAGAGAAGCCCAGGGAAGACCTTGTGGTGAGGACATTGTGTTCCCTTGAACATGCAAAGGAGGGCAAGTGCTGGGCTCTTCCCCTGCAGGCAAGCCATGGGCATGGGGCTGTCATCCAGAGGCCCAGCATTCAGCAAGACATGCAGATGTGACATGCAGAAGACATGCAGACCTAATCATGGAGTTGCCTTCAGCTGCCAAATATCCTTTCCACAGAAAGCTGACAGACTGCCAGGGATCATAGCTGGAAAGAGGATGCACAAGCAACTACAGCCTCTGAGATGTGATACGTGCGGCCTCAGGAAGAGAAATGAAGAGGTACAAGGAGGAAACCTAAGGAAGATGAGGCAGTAAAGATAACTCCATTATTATTCCATTTGCATGGAGTCAAAGCAGGAAACGCAGGGGAACCTGTCTAGGGAAGCAAACAGGAGGGATACACCCAGGCACAAGGCAGGAATTGCACAGGATTTGACCTGCATAAGAGAGACACGGAGCTCCTCCTTCTTCCACTACAACCAGCCTCTTCCTCCTCCTCTTCATTCAGACTGTGACACACTACAATGGCCATTAACAGGAGTGTGAGATGAAAGGAGGCTTGACTTTTATGGCTTGTTTTTCCCTGCAGCCCCATTTCCTTGAGCCTTGCTAAATGAATGTCTTCCTATTTGATGATGACGCTTATCTGCTTATCTGCTGTCGGGAGGAACAAGGCGAATCGGGGTGGAATCCCTGATTTGGGAGTGAAAGGATGCTACCCGCGGGTCATCCCAGGTGACAGGGCTGCCTGTTGGTGCCCCTCCATCAGCTTTTCAGGAGGAGGCTCCCTCTGCTAGGCACAATATCCACACCCAGGCCCAGCAAGAGCTCCTCTACATCACGGACAGCTCCTGAGTCCCACGGCAGGGACAGTAGTGACAAGGTTGAGCTTGGGGACTCACGGGGGCTCTCCGAGCACATTCGTAAGGGAAGGTGCCAGGAGGGGAGGCGCTGGGCTTAGCGGCGGTGCAGGGCCCCCGGGGTCACGGCACAGACGTGGTGCGTGAGCAGCAGGGCGACCATGAAGCTGCGTGAGCTCCTTTTGAAGGTTTGCTCTGCGCGCACACGCACGTTTGATCTCCGGGAGCCACAACATCCTGCGGCAAGGAGTTCCCCACTGCCTTCAGCAGGGCATGGAAAGGGCTTTCTGCTTAGTGTCACGGCTTCGGCGTGGTGTTTTCAGAGCTGCTAACTGTGCTGTCCGGAGAGCAAGACGATGCTTGCTCCTTTTTCACCCTTCCTCTACTATCAACACCAGGGGCATCGCTTACCAGGCTGGGCAGCCACACGCGCTTTCGCCTTGCCTGGAAACCCTTCCTACTCCCAAGCCCCCGTGTGGGCTGTTCCTAATCCCTCCCCTTTGGTGCTGGGAGGCACAGAACTGCGGCAAAACCCGAGGAGGCTTCACCAAAGCTTCAGAGAGCAGTGGGACAGGCTTTTGTTTTGCTTTCTGTTCCTTTACTCACAATTCCCGATGTTCACTTTAGTTTTTCCCCCAAAAGAAGTTATCTGACATCTCCTGAATGACTCTTTGACCTCTTTTGCAAGTGCTAAAGCTAATTTTAAGTCCATCCTCATGCAATGCATCCTCATTTCCACCATGCCTGCGTTACTTTGCCTTTACCAGCACGGACCACAGTCTGCTCTTCATCTGTCCAACCCCACAGCACCATTAGTGTCCCCTTGAGCCCCCCAGGAGCTTTAATTTGTTATTACTCCCAGCAAGAACAGCAGCGACGACGTGTACGGGAGGCAGCAGAGCCCCAAGCTTTGTCAGGGAGCAAAAGGGGCTTGGAAGGGTGGCTGCTGGGGGCTGCGAACCCACAGGGAGAAGACACCTCCATCACTCATCCGTGGGGAGCATCAAGGGGGTCCCTAACCCCATGGCCAAGGGGACGCATGGCACCAAGGGGGTCCCTCTCCCCATGGCCAAGCAGACACGTGGCACCAGGGGGTCCCTCCCGCCATGGCCAAGGGGACACAGGCCTCCCAGCGGGTCCCCTCGGGCTCCAGGCGGCCCCGCAGCGCGGGGCGCCCCTCATGGCGCCGCCCGCCCCCAGCCCGGGCCCCGCTGACGGGGTCTCCCGCGCCGCGCGCAGGGGCGGCGCCGCGCGCAGGTGGCGGCCCCGGCGCGGGGCGGGGCAGCGCGCGCCCCCAGCCCCGCTCCCCGCGCACGCAGCGGGGTCGCGGGTTCGAGTCCCGGCGCGGGCGGCCGCAGCAGCGGCGGCGGCTCCGCACCTGGCCGGCCGAAGCGGCGGGCAGACTTTGCCTCCAGCCTCTATAAAAGGTAGCGGTGGCGTGAGTCAGAGCTCCCGCCTCCCGCCGCCCGCTCTCACGTACACCCGGCCGCGAGCCGGCCCCGCCGGGCACTCGCCGGAGATGAGCGCGCGGCTGCCACGAGCGCTCCTGCTGCTGGCCGCGCTGAGCCGCGCCGCGGCCGCGCACAGCGCCGAGGAGGACGCGCCGCACTCCCACGAGCGAGGTGAGCGCGGGGCGCGCGCGGGGACGGGGCTCCCCGGCCGGCCGGGGCCGCCGCTCTGCCCGCCCCCCCGGGCCGACCCTCTTTGTCCCGCTCCCGCCAGCGCGCAGCTTTGCGTGGAAAGTTAACTCTGCCGCTAAGCTCGATACAGATGTGCGCATATATATATATGCACAACTTTTTATTATCTTTCTTCTTTTTTTTTTTTTTCCTTTTTGCCCTGCTAAGCCTGCTTCCCAGCAGGTCGGGAGCTTGCAGCTGGGGCAGCGTGGCAGATGGTGGAACCTGCAGTGTGGTCGCCTGCCCCCCGTGATGGGGCTCCCATCGGGACCCCATGGGATGCCATCTGCCCATGTTTCTCCCCTTTGGAGACAGACACCAGTTCTTGGGAGCCCTATATCCCTCAGAGCCCTCCTCCTCCTCCTGCTGCTGGTGGCTCTCTGATTTTGGGCTGGCCATTTGCAGGGGAGCCCTTGGCTCCAGGGTCCCTTTGTGTCCCGAAGGCTGTGGTGCTGCCGGGGTCTGTTTGGCGTTGGGGACGCGCCATGCGTTTTCGCTGCACCGCGGCCGCGCTGTGGGGCCGCCTGTGCCGTGCCCGTGCTCCCGCTGCGGTTCCTGGTACCGGCTCCGGCAGCGCTTTGTGTTTCCCGGGCAGAACGTGTCCCAGTTAAGCCTCTCCTAAGGAGTTGCCTTGACCCGCGCAGGGGCAGCCGCACACCGTCCAGAGCCGGCAATTGTTTGGTGCCAGGAACCGCTTTTGTTATTGCAATGAGCCACCAGAGCCGCTTGGCAGGGATGCGGATGGTCCTTGCGGCCACGGTGGAGGAACTGGGCATAGCGTGCCATGAGGGTTGCTGTGGGATGGGGATGCAGTTGGAGGCAACAGGGAAGCGGCTGCGTAGCTCACTAGTGAGGAGCGGCCTGTGCAATGTGGTCACTGGTGGCTGGAAGTCCAGCCCGTGTCCTCTTTGGGGAGCTGGTTTGGGCTGGGACCCTTGCGGGCAGCAGCTCTGCCCAGTCTGTATCTCAGCGTTGCAGAGGGGCAGGGTGCCGGTTCCCTCCCTGCCTCCTCTGGAGCCTGGGTGCCCTCCACAAGCCCAGGGCAGCTGCAGGGGCCTTCCCAGGTTGCCCAGTCCTCGGAGATGTAGAAGGGAGCCCTTCCAGGCTCTGGCTTGCCCAGGAATCCCGCGATACAGATGTGCTTGGCAAGCAGTAGCTCCTTGCCTACTGCAGCCTCTTTCTTCTCTTCACGCTATTCAGGTCTGTCCTGTTCTCTGTTTCTTCCCACTTTCCTCCACCTGAGCCCATTTCCCTTACTGTACCCACTGAATTGCCTCATTCCTTGTGCTCACAACCCAAACCAAGGGCCATCCCTGGGCTTTCCCCGTGTCCTTCCCTTTTCCTTGGGTTCCCTATGCACTGCCACGAGCTGCTGCCGTTTCCCCTTCGCGCTGGCACGCGCTGGCGTGCGGGCGCTCGGGTTGGGGGGCACGGGAGGGGCTGCAGCGCCTGCCCTGCGCCTTCCCGCGCCCGCCTCTGAGGGCAGCTGGGCCGGGTCCCAGCGGCTCCATCCTCCTCCCGGGGCGCTAAGAACAGTCCCTGCGGCGGCCTGAGCTCCCTGGGGCAGATTAAAGGCTGAGCCCAAAGGCCTGCAATGGGTCAGAGTTTGTAAACACAAAAGGGCTTCAGTGCAGCCAGGCTTGGGAGGGATCAGTGCCCCCATGGCCAGCTGAGCCCTGGGGGCAGAGGGCACGTGCGGGGTGCCTGCAAAGGGACACCGGGGCTGTGCTTGTGGAGGAAGCGCCTGGCACCCCGGAGCTGGGTGCTGGGGAAGGCCCTTCGTGGGGATCCCCGAAAGGGTGCCCCGAAATGGTGCCCCCCATTGCCCAGGCCCCGTGCCAGCTTTGAGCTTGCAGTGCCCTGGCCCCTGGACCTGCCCACAGCTGGTGTGTCGGGCAGAGGGAGAGCCCCGGCACAGCCTGTGTATCTTGGCCAGGTCGCTGCTTTCAAGGGAGACGTGTTTTGTAGGCTGAGATCTGTGGCTAGTTCCCGCTTCGAGGCTCTTGGCGCTTCTCTGCGTCTCCTGGTTCTGGCCCCTTAGGCATCACAGATGAAGTCCTCTTGTCAGGGCTGCGAGCTCTTGTGGTCGCCCCAGCCTGTCTCCTTCCCCAGGAGCACAGCAAGGTCCTGCCCGGGCATCACTGTAGGAACCATCCTTGTGGGAACCATCCTCATTCCCTGGGTCCTGGCTGCCACACCAGGATCCGCGCAGAGAGTCCAGCACTGACAAGTGTCCGGCAGGATCCTGCTGTCCTCCGTGGCTGAGCACAGGGATAGCGTGTGCCCGGGTGAGGGAGCGGGGTGTCCGAGCCAGAAGCGAGCCCCGTGTGCTGCCTGCTGTGCACAAGCTCTCCTGTTTCTCCGTGGGAGCCCCAGGCCAGGAGGAGCCACGGGGCGGCATCCGCCGTGCAAGTGGCACGTGGTCCCTGCCCTGTGCTTGGCTGTGCTCGCCGCTCTGGGAAAAGCAGATGGAAAGGACAGACGACCCCTGCTCTGAAGGGTTCTGCCGAGGGGGTGTGGGTGATGCCCTTGGCCCATCCCCACGTTCCTATGTTAGGGATGGTGACATCTGTCCTCTGGTGCCTTGGAGCAGCCAGCGGCTCCCCTGCAGATGTGCTGGCCCCTCCCCTGCCAAAAATCCCTTTTCCCAGCCCCTTCCTGGCCGGCAGCGGGACATGCCGAGCAGCACGCTGGCAATGGCTCCGCGGGAAAGCCTTGTGGGGTGGTGCTGGGCGGCATGGAGCGAAGGGAGCTGCTGGCTGCGGCCGGGATCCCAGGAATGGGAGGGCGGAGAGAGAGACAGCAAGGGGGGGCAAGTGCAAGGAGAGAGAAGCAGAAAAACTCATCTGCATCCGGGCTGGGAATCATCTTACCCTCGAGGAGAGGGAAGAGCGCTTAGTGTTGGGCTGCACCGAGCCCCTGGAGAGCTGGAGTAGCTCGCGCTCTTCTTGCCTTCCCTGCAGTGCCCTGGTCCCCCCCACGTGTCCTCTCCTCGCCCCACACCTCCCAGCATACCCTCACTAGCCCGGAGCAGCGGTGGGACTTCCCCCGGGTTTTGGGGAGCGCTCAGGAGCTCCCACCTGGGTGCCAGCGCTGCCAGGCCCTGTTGTGGGAAGCGGCCGCGGGTCGGCAGCGAGGAGGAGGAGGAGGAGGAGGATGGTGCCCACAGGCTGCGCTCGGCTGGTGCAGGTGAGAGCCAGGCTGCAGTTGTGCAAACAGGCGTCGGGGCAGGGCACTGGGTTAACGTTCACGGCGCCCATTGGCGAGGTGGCCAATGCCCCCACGTGGAAGGGAGCCGAGTTGTGCAGTGTGCCGGCGTGGGTGATGCGGGACGGCAGCGCGTGGGCCAAGGGGGCTGCGAGGCGCTGCCGTGGGTGGCCTGGCTGCTGCTCCCGCTGCGGCCAAAGCTGTGGGAGCAGGGAAACCAATCCAGCTGGCTTCAATGCACCCCTGGTGCTGCTTGCCCTGGAGGATGGGAGACCTCCCACGGGAACCCTATGGAGCCAAGCTGGGATGGATTGGACTCCTGGGCGCAGCTGCAGCCTGGAGGGTATTGGCACCAATGGAGGCTGGGGTGGGTGGTGAGGCTGGCAGAGCAGGGAGGCGCCAGTGCCCTATTATCGCCCCATCTACCATCTGAGCTTTGAGTCGCTTGCAGGGGAGGCAGAGCCCCTGGAGCTGAGCGGGAATGGGTGCCGGGGCCGCGTGCGCCAGTCCGGGCATGTGCTGCGAGCCAGGGCGGCGCGTGCTGACCGAGGGCTGCTGTGTCACCCCCCATTCCTGCTCCTGCCCTTGTGAGATGCCTCCGTGCTGCAGGGGGTAGAGCTGCCAGGGTGTCTCCTGGAGATCCCAGTTCCATCCATGCCTGGAGCGTCCTTGCAGCCCTTCCCTGTCCTCATTCCCCTCCTGCCAGCAGCTTGTGCCTTTGCAGGGGCTGGTAGAGCTGCCGCCCTCCTCCACAGCCACTCCCAGAGGCTGCCTGGAAAATCGCAGCCCGCTCTGACCTTTCCCGTCGCTCTGGCCTGGGTGTCCGTAATGCCACGGACTGGTGCTGCATGCCAGGATGGAATGGGAGCTGGTGCTGCCTGGCTGTAGAGCCCACTCTGCTCCCGTGCATGGAGCAAGGGCAATATTCCCTGCCACAGGATGCCTCTCCCTTGTGTTTTTACTGGGTGCTTTTAGCCCTGGCTTCCAGGGAAGGGCTCGGAGTGTTTTTTCCTCCTGGAGAAGGTATGTTGGGAGCCCCAGCCGGAGCAAACGTCTGGCAGAGCAGGGATGCTGGGCTCCTGTGTGCAGGCTGCGTTCACCTCCTGCAAACAGTGCCGGGAGGGACGGGAGAGCAAGGAGTGCGTGGGCAGCCTGTCCCAGCTTGCCATGCCCTGCACTTGCTGCCCCTTTGCGTGTGGGTACGGTGCCAGGCCAAGCGAGTCCCGAGCACTGCTCCGGAGCACAGAGGAGCTGCAGGGATGAGTCCCCGGCAACGCTGGAGAGCCCCCCAGGGCCCTTCCCGTCCCTCCCAGTCCAATCCACGGCGCTGTGTCCTCCCCGGAACAGCAGCCATGCCCAAGTCCCAGCGTCAGCGCTTGCACCAGCACAGGGCCTCATCCCGCTCCATCCTGCGGGAGCCAGACCTGGGCCCTCGGGCCGGCCGGCTGGGACATTGGCCGCATCTTCGGTGCATGCCTGGATCCCCGCTGGAGAGAGGAGGGCAGGATCCCGCTGTGTCCGGGGACTTGTGCCGGACCTCCTGAGCCTGGGAAAACGGGCCTCTTCCTTTCTCACCCTGAGCTGGAATCCGCTCCTATTAATAGCAGCAGCTGTCTGGGGCTCGCAGCAGTGTCGGGGCTGAGCTGCGCCGGAGCCCTTGGAAAAGGGGTTCAGTCCGGCGCTTTTCCCAATCAGACATCCCACTCGCTGCTAAGTGGTGTTAAGTGGATCCAGCCGCAGAGCTGCCTTGCTGGATGCCCTTTCTTGGGACAGCGGGAGCTTGCGGCCGCTCTGAGGTAGCCGCAAGTGTTTGCGTGGCTCCCCAATGACGAAAGCCGCTATCTGTAATTTTACCATCATAATGATGATAACAAATGGCCAAGCCTCGATTTTTCCGTCTGCCTGATGCGTGCAGGAGACCTGGCCTTGGCCCGGGGACCTTGTCCCCTTTGGCAGGAGACGGAGTCTGCTGGGAGCACCCGGGATGCCGCCCGCAGTGGCACGTGTGCTGCCAGCCTTCCCTGCCGCTTACGCTCCCTTTTCCCCTTTTCCTTTTCAAGGTCTCGGCCGGGATCACTGGACCTATAAAGGTAATACCTGCAGTTACTCCTGCTTCTTGCCACCACCCTCGGTGCTGGGCCTTGGCCAGCCGCAGTTAATGATTGCCGGGTTCCCGTGCACGCTCTGCCGCTCGCCCTTCCTTCCCGTCTGACCCCCGTGGGTCCGGCGGTGCCCAGGACCCCAGGGAACGCAGCCAGTGCATGGGAGCTCCCATGGGAGCAGCACTGCTCCCGAGGGTCTCCGCAGCCCCCCGGGCGCCACGGGGCGGCGCTGGCAGCCCCGCTCTCCCAGCGCGTCCCGTGCGTCCCCATCGCGGCACCCCAACCCACGTCACCGCAGCCCCTGAGCTCCCGCGTGGGGCAGGCCCGGCCGCCCAGAGCCACCAGCCTGCGCTGCCCGAAGCTGCTCCGCCTGCCAAGGCGCCTGCTTAAGTGATCCTCACACACGCTTCCCAAACACCCCTAAAATAGACGTTCCTGGCAGCTCCGCGCGCTCGGAGGCCCTGTCCCAACACAGCCGCGGCAGCGCGGAGCTGCTCCCGTGCGCGCTCCCGTGCCGCCAGCTGCGGGATTTATTCCCTGCCCTGCTCGTCCTTTTCCCACGCGCCCCGTGGTCCCCAGCGCTGCGCGAGTGGGACTCGCGCTACCCGGACTGCGGCGGCGCCATGCAGTCGCCCATCAACATCAACACGGCCGAGACCGTCTTCAGCCCCCAGCTGCGGCCCATCCAGCTCGCCGGCTACAGCCTGTCCTCCAAGGAGATGCTCAAGCTGAAGAACAACGGACACACAGGTGGGCGCCCACGGGGATGCAACAGAGCGGCCTCACCGAGGCCAGCACGTTGCTTGCGGCCTCTTGCAGGGCTGGCCTTGTCTGAAGCTCTTCCCTTCTGGTCCCTGGCGAGGACACCGTCTTAGGGGCGTCGTTCATGTCACCGCCAAGGCTGAAAGGGCAGCGTTAGGCCGTGTGGCCTGTCAGGTCTCAGTGCTTTTGCAGATGGAGTGGAGAAACTCGCCACAGGCTCTGGAGAACTCACCATAGCTTCTGGGAGTTTCCTCCAGGAATTTACTATAACCCACATTTATTTATTTATTAAGAAAAGACCATACCACTTCTGATGTAAATTTGCAGCCATTAGTTCCTTTCCCGCTTTTCCCTGTTAAAGGACTGCCTGGGCCCCGATATGATTTTGCCGTTCAGGTATTTACCTCTCAAGGTTTTTAGCACACAATATTGGTCAAATTCCTCAAGCTGCGTTTCCGGATGTTATCTCGGGAGCTTGAGGCACTTTTATGGGTCTTTCACTTCACTTCTCCGCTCTGGGGACGTTTTTGGAATGTGCGGACACGACTCGTTCGCAGTGTTTTAGTGTCGGTCTCACACTGCCAGATGCAGAGATAACCCTGCCTGCCCCCTGCTCCCCACCCATGGTTGTGCACCTGGGAACGGTGAGCGTGTTTGCTGCTTTCTCCTTGTGGGAGCACGTTGAGTGTCTCGTGCTGGTGTCTGCTGAGCTCACAAAAGGGAGCAGAGACCAGACCTAGAAGTTCCCTGGTGTGACAAGACTCCTCCTTTGGTAGCTAGCGAGGCAGATGGAGCTGGTCTAAGCACACAGCAGGTTCCAGAAGTTGGGCTCGCTCTGCCTGGCCGGATCATGCTCACATTGCTTGGACTTGCAGTGCGCGGTCAGAGGAGCCCTGTGCTGCCTGCTGCCCTGGTGTGCCTGCATAGCTAAACTGCTTGCGCTCCGTTGTTGCTATTTTGGACACCCTGGCATCTGGAGTTGCTGGGTGTTTGGAAGGGCAACCATAGCACGTCCAGAGGGGGGAGAAATAATTTCCCCTGTGCTTATAAGGTGCCTTTTTTATTATTATGGCAACTGTCAGTCTTCTGTGATCATTATGAAGAGCCAGAAGTAACTAAAATGTTAAATATCTACTAAAATATTTGTATAGTTAATCCTCCTTATACTGTACAGTGTATAAAGTTCTGAAATGGGAATGACTCACATAAATAATGGAGGAATGCACCAATTAAGATACACAAAAGAAACGTAAAACAGATAAGCTTCCAGAGAGGGAGCAATTTCTTGCTCCCTCTATTTGAGTTTTGTGTCTTTGAGCCCAATGGCAGGGAACATGGGAGGGAACAAATGATTCATTGTGACCATATTATGCTTTTAATGCTGAATCTGCACCCTAGCTCAGTGATGTGACCAAGAGACATTTCACCTATAAGGATGGAGGAAAGAAAAGAATTGATTTTTAAAATGAGAAAGAGGTGTTTAAAAGGATAGGATGGACTTCCCTGTTGCTCATGTTCTGTAGCATGTCCCAATAACCCAGCTTTAGCGTTTGCCACATGACTGCACAAGGACTGACTTGCTAGCCAGGACTGAGTCATGTCTCCAATCAAGTTAAAGTAAAGGCAAATAAAAGTATATGATTGCAATGTGATTGCAGAATGATTGCAGTAGAATAATGCTTCTGTGGTACAAGTTCCCATGTTTGTCATACCCCCATGGGCCACTTATTTGAATGGTCCCAGCTGCCCAGATGGTGCAGCTCTCTTTACGACTCCTCTGCTCTCATAAGTGTTTAACACTCTGCCAATATCTTTCTCCATGAGTTCTGCCCACAGCCTCCTTATTCTTGCTTACTGAATAAGTTATTGGGTAACATCTGGGTTAGGACTGACCCCTGGGAGATTCTGCAGAGGATTCTTCAGCAGTTTCACAGCAGCTACTTTTGAGGCTTGGGTTTCTGTTTTTTATTTTATATAACCAAGGTGTCCTACAACCTGAACCTGAAAGTTGCAGCCTGCTGCATTGGCACAGCAGCGTTGACTGTAGCCTCATTAAAGATTGAAAGACAGTTTGTTTGTTGTGCCCATTTTGCACGAACCCAAGGTGACTCTTTGCCCTTTGCGCACCCGTGCGAAGAATGGAGCTTTTCCTTTTCCTGACCAGCCTCTCCCGTGTGTCCCTGCAGTTGTGCTGGAGCTGCCCGAGCTGCTGGCCATCGCGGGGGGCTATGCACAGCAGTACAAGGCCGTGCAGCTGCACCTGCACTGGGGCTCTCCGTCGGGACCCGGCTCGGAGCACACCGTGGATAACCACCGCTTCCCGGCCGAGGTAGGGAGCGGCGTTCCTGCCCGCCGTCCCTCTGCATCCCCGCCTCCGGTGGCATCTGTCCCACGGCCCCGCTTGCTGCTGGGCGAAGGCTCTAGGCTTTCGGGGAGGGTCTCTGCTCCTGCTCACCTCTGCGGAGGGCCGAGTTCAGTGCAGGAGAGCACCCGGAGCACCTCAAGCGAGAGCCAGGTCCGCGATGCAGCCTGCAGCGCCAAGGCGGCCCTCGGGGACCCTCTGCCCGTGGCAGGGCTGGCCTGCAGCAGGCTCGGGGTGAGCAGCAGCAGGAGGTGGCCGTGCAGGAGAGCCCACAAAGCCGCCTGGCCCGCCCCGGGATGAGGCGGGTTCTGCCTGAGCCTGTTCCCCTGCGCTGCAGCCCGTCCCGGGCTGATGGAGCAGGAGCCGCGGTGCCGGGGCAGCCAGCCTGCTGCAGGGCGCTGTTTACTCTCTACACAAACTGTTTCCCTTCTCTGCCGGTTCCCATCCGGTTTTATCCCTCCTCCTCCAGCGCTTGTCCTCAAACCAAGCCCAGCTCTGCAGTAAGCCCCCCTGCCTCGGTGCTGCTCTGCTGGTTGTCTCCAGGGAGGATACTGTGGGACCCCGTCACACTTGTCACCCTTCAGCAGCACGTTTCCCCGGCTCCACCGGCGTGTTTGGTCACCGTGGGGGATGCTCAGCATGGGTTCCTGGCTCTGCTGTGGCAGGCAGGCCATGAGGAGCCCTGTGGCTGTGGGCATTGCCTGGAGGTTCCTGCTTTGCATCAGGGCTTGTCCCTTTGCCTTCCAGATCCACGTTGTCCATTACAACACCAAGTATGACAACTTCAAGGAGGCCATGGTCCACCCGGATGGCCTGGCAGTGCTGGGAGCCTTCCTGCAGGTGAGGCCAATAGCTTAGCCTGGGTAGGAGAGTAATGGGGAGCAGGACGTGGGTGGGCAGGGATGGCTGCAGCTCTGGGGACAGGCAAAGGTGCCAAAGTGCCTGGGGAGAAATAATTGGAGGGAGGGTGGCCCTGATGGCGGGAAGGGGGCCGAGTGGTGCAGGGTGGCCCGTGCTGGGAGCGATTACTCCCTGCTGGCACTGCCATCGGCTGCCTGTGCCACCTCGCGCTCTGTGCTCTTCACTTCTTGGGGGTCTCTGCGTTGCAGGTCGGGCCCAGGGAGAACCCGTACTATCAGCAGATACTTGAGCACCTGTACAAGATCGAAGGAGAAGGTAAGGCACTGCCTGCCTAGCCCTTGTGCTGGGCTGCAGCAGCTGGGCAGGGAAGGGGAGCATTGCACAGCCCATGCAGAAATGGCTGTGCAAGGTGCCCTCCGCAGCGCTTGCACGTGCTTTCTCCTGACTCCAGGGCAAGTTACCTGTTCCTGGCTTAACCAGGAACCAGCCAGGCAGCTGGTTCCCTGGGAAATGTGCTGCAAGGCTGGGCTTGAGAGATGTCCCAGGTCAGGCGTGGTGTTCTTCTTGTCTAGGACACACTGTTGTGCCCCGTGGTGGGACAGAGCCCTTCTAGGTAGCCTGGCCTCGCAGACAGGTCTCACGCACTGCCCTGGCCCAAGGGGCTGCTCTGCTCTCACTCTGGTGCTTCCTCTCGCAGATGAAGAGGTCTTTGTGCCGGGGTTCAACATCGCAGGCCTGCTCCCCGCCAACCTGAACCTCTACTTCCAGTACAACGGCTCTCTGACCACCCCTGCCTGCTACCAGACGGTGAAGTGGACAGTGTTCAACCAGACGGTGCAGCTCTCTCAGGATCAGGTCGGTCAGGGCCCCGCGCGCTCAGCTGGCCCTTGTCCAGCCTCCGGAGCAGCCCCTGGAGCAGGCAGGGGCTCTGCTCCCCAAGGCAGGTGCCTCTGCCCTGCTCTGCTCTGCTGACACTGTCCTCCGGCCAGATCTCGCTGCTGGTGACGACCCTGAGAGGGGACGACGACAGCCCCCTGCAGAACAATTTCCGGGGGGTCCAGAAGCTGCACGGGCGACACGTGCTGGCCAGTTTCCAGACCGCGCTCCCCTCGGTGCAGCAGCTGCCTCCCGGTAAGGAGAGCACGGAGGTGGGACAAGCTCTGCCTGTCGGGTGCAGGTACAGGGAGGTTCAGGTTGCACAGGGGTACAGGTTGAGAAGCTGGAATCCAGGTTCCCTTATGGAAACACAGTGTTTGCATGGGCTGCCCTGCCCAGCAGAAGACAGAGCAGCACTTGGACAAGTCCCATCCCCCTGTTTGGGAGATTGTCTTGTGCTGCACGGGGGAGATCAGTGCCTGGGAGTGTTCTTTGTCCTTGGTCGTGCAGAGCAATAGTGACAAGGGCTGCAGGATGTATGAGGTAAGTGCAAGGGCATACAGCTCACGTGCAGGCAGCCAGGTGCTTGGAGCTTTTCAATCCCCAAATCTTGTAGGTAAATTAATTTAGTGTTTCCCTTGGATTTGCTTCATCCACAAAGGCCTTTCTTGTGTTGGTGATTTCCAGCTACGTGTTTGTGGCTCTGCAGAAATTCCTGTTAGTCCTCAGGTGTGACTATCACTGCATCACTGATACCTTGCCTCTTTCTGTACTTGGAGGTCACTCAGGCTTTTCTGTCCAACATCCTGTTCCTTTCTTGCTCTAGTGGCGTCTCGTGGCTAATATCACTATTCCCACACCTTGTGTCAAGGTGACTAACACAAGCAGAACACCAGACTGGCCCCAGGCCTCTGGGGAAAACCTCAGGTGACAACATCATGCTGGCGTGTGGCTTCCCTCTCCCTTCCACCTCCCGGCTCCCCACAGCCAGCTCTCTACCCCGCTTTCAATCCCGCTGTTCTCCTGCTTCCCATGTGGCACCACAGCAAATGCTCCACTGAAGTCTGCAGAGATAAAATCTCCTGCATTCACTTTGTCTAGAGTATCAGTTATCAAGGAAGGATATCAGGTTAGGCTGGCATGCTCTATCTTTGGTAAACCTGCTAGACATTTTATCATATTTTCTGTTTACCTGCAGGTCTTTTATGGTTTTCTCATAGAAGCTTTTCTAAAGCCTTTACTTGTTGAAGCTTAGAGGAGGGGGTGGAGTTGTCCAGCTCAGCTTTTTCTTTCTTTCTTTGCTATTTAAATCAAACAACCCCGACTATAACAAATCCACAAAGTCCTTGCTCCCGGATTTGTAGTTCCAAGTGCCAGGACGGTGTCCCAGTAGCCCTGCATGAGATTAGTTGGTCCCCCACCTTGTGTGCCGTGGGGTGATTGCGATTTGTTCCCGTTTCTGATACCTGGCTGTTGCAACCTGCCTTTGCCCTGCGCCCCGGACGCATTGAGTGCCGGGGGGAAGCGCTTATTCAGCTCGGGAGCCACGTCCCGCTTGGCCGGCACCGGTGTTGATCTTCCCTGAGTCACCAGCAGCGGAGCCAGGCGCCCCGGCCCGTTCTGTGGCAAGATCACGGTGGTGGCCAGGTCCCGGGTCCCGCTGGCCCGCAAGCAGTGCCACCCCGCGCGCGGCACACGTGTGGACGGGCGATAATGCAGCCATTTAAAGGCAGGCGGGTAAATATTTGCCTGGCACAGCCCCCACCCAGCACTTAGGGCCCGGGTGCAGTGTGAGCTGTCCCTGTGCAGGGCGCCCGGCTGGAAATGGCCATGGGGACACGGAGGTGGCCGTGCCAGCCCCTGCCAGCCGCCCCCTCTCCCTCGGGGGCTGCTGGGCTGGGGGCTGCCGGCAGCGAAGGGATGAGCCTGAGTTTTGTCCCATCGTTTTGCCACAGATGGCGGATACGCTCCGGGTGCCGCAGGAGTCCGGCCCGGGCAGGTGTCGCGCGCAGGTACCAGCTGACGGGGCTGCTGCTTGCGCGGGGAGCGGGGCCGTTCTCGCCGCTCTCCCAGCTCTGGGAGCCCGCCCGCCCAGCTGGGTGCTCCTGCTGGGGTCTTGCCTGGCTCGTGCACCCATGGGACTCCAGGGTGCCGCTCGGCTCTGCAACCTGCCGCTTGCCTGGCACAGAGCAGCAGGGTGACGTGCGGCGCACGGGGACACCCTTTTTGCCTGGGCTCAGCATGTCTTCCACGCAGGCTCTATTTCAGCTCTCTTTTCCTTCCCCAATGCTTCTGCTGGTGCTGCAGGGCTGGGCTGGATGCTGCGGGCTGCTGGGGGTGCAATGGGGCAGCGCTGCCTCCTCTGCTGCAGGAAGGTGGTGGCTCTTGCAGAGCTCCCTGCTTTGCCCGTGCTGCGTTTAGCCCTGCAGGCCTGATGCTCCCTGGCACCTCGGGCACCCTCCTGACTGTGCTGTGTCTCTTTCAGGTGGTGACAGCTCCTCAGAAGCAGGTAGGTGAGGGCCCTGGGCTGCCGGCACACAGGAGGGAGGTGGGGGATGCCCCCTTGGGGTGGCATCTGCCTGGAAAAGGAGGAACCCAACAGCTGTGTACATAGCTGGAGAGGTGGACACATAATGCGGGGTGCTGAGCTGTCCTAGGCCTCTGTGCAGTGGCGTCTCACAGTTGTTCTCTCGCATCTGTTTTAGGTGCTGAAAAACACAGCGGTTCGTTTCAGGCAGGTAAGCAGAGCCGCCAGTCCCCGGCTTTGCGCCCCCTTTGCCCACGGGCTCCCGGCTCCCTTGGGGCCCGTAGCGCAGGGCCCCGTGCCCGCTGTGACGGCCCCGCGCTCGGCGCTTGCAGGGGACGTGCTGGCCGTGCTCTTCGGGGTGCTCTTCGCCGTCACGGCACTCGCCTTCCTGCTCTACATCCACAAGCAGCGCACCCAGAATGTCCGGTGAGCGACGGGCTGCGCGGAGAGGGAGAGAGGGACGCGGGCATCTGCACTGTGGACATGGGGCAGCAGGGCACAAATGCAGGCAGACTGTTAGTCACTGTTAGTCTCACAGGGAGCAGCTTAGAGTTGCTTTTTGGAGGTTCCTCCCGCACTGCTGACCTAGCTCCTTTCTCCTCCTCCAGGCTGGACAATCCAACCAAATCCAAGGTCATCTACACAGCAGCCACCACAGAGGAGAACGCGGTGTGAGCCGCGTGGCGCCGGCCCTCCCGCCCGGCCCGGCCCGTGGAGGGCTCCCACTGCAGCACCTCTGCCGCCCAGCCCCGCACAGAGACTGCTCCCCGGGGCCAGCACCGGCCTCAGCAGATATTTTTGTTATAAAAAGATAAAAATGTGTTCAAAAAAAAAAAAAAGAAAAACAGGATGTAAGGCCAGCTCTACCTCTGCTATTCCAAGGCCAGGCTTGGGGGAGAGGAAAAGGTGCCAGACGCAGCTGGCCTCGCGGCACAGGGAGCCCAGGGCTCCTTTTCAAACCTGTAAGGAAAGCCGCAGCCTCCCTGCCCCAGGCAAGGTTCCAGAGCAAGCAGCACGGGGCCCTTCATCCCTCAGGGCCGTCTTCCTCCTATTTGTATAAAGTGATGGAAAAACAGAGCGAGGGGGTGGTAAGACCAAAGAACTGCAGAAGGGCGGATGGCAGCCCCTGCCCTGCCACTCCAGAGGGCCCTCCTCAAAGCCTGGGGCCTCCCTCCTTTCCGTGCCCCACAGCCTCTGGCTCTCCGGCCAAGGGCACCGCGAAGCTGCTGCTGCCCCCTGCGCCGCGCAGAGCCGGCCGGGCACGTCCGCTACTCCTCTTTATTGGTATAAAAGCCCACGGCGGGCAAAGCTGCGGCGCCAGCTCCCAGCCCCACGGCAGTTTCTCCCTCCCAGTCCTGTAGTGTGTCCTCAAGCGCTGATGCCACGCTGAAAATTCCCCCTGCAGCCCCGGGAGAGGGCAATGATCCACTGGAATGGTCCCCCGGGCCGCCCCCCCCCGTCACCCTGGGCCCGCAGCCGGCTCCGTGTCTGCCTGGCACTGTCCGCTCCCGCTCCAGGTCGCTTCAGCCTCCTACTGCCGCAGGGGCCCTGCACCCCATGCTGCCCACGCAGCTCCCCTGCACACGCTGGCCGCCAGGTCACTGCCGGGGCCACCGTGGGATGGGTGGCACCAGGTCCCCCTGCAGCTCCGGGGACAGCGCGTGTTCCTGGCTGGGGGAAGGAGCAGCGGCTTCCTTTGAGCTCGGGCCTCGAGCAGTCCCAGAAGTGTCCATGGCAGGCGGGCGAGCCGAGTGCCCCGGGGCGAGCAGGGCTGTCCTGCGGGCGCTCCCCGAGGGGCGCAGGAGCGCGGCGGCCCCCGTGCCCGCCCCGCGGGGCCTGCCTGCTCGCCCCCGTCCCGGGAGCAAATGTATTGCAGAGAAGGCGACGGATGCTCTCGCCCACGGAACGGAGGGGAGGGCAGGGGCGGCTGGGGATGGGAATGTCCTGCAGGGCCTCAGGATCTTGCCTGGGGGCTGGCTCCACTCGGCAAACCTATGGGCACAAAGAAAGGGCTCGCTCTTGGGCAAACTTCTTACCCCAACTGCTTCCCATGCTGGAGGGCAACCCGTGTGAGGCCCCAAACCACAGAGCTTCCCAGTGTGTCTGTGGCAGCGAAGGCATCTTCGCTTCAGCCTCTGCTCGAGGCACCCCCGGCCCCCAGCCCTGGCCCAGCTCCTCCCGGCCAGCCCCCAAGGGACCAGCCCGGGCAGCTACGGAGCCCCATCACGGAGCAGGACTTACAGAGCAGGAAGCGCCGCACGTTCTGCGCAGATCCCCCCGAGAGCAGGTAGGCCCAGGTGGCGGCCACAGCCATCAGCACGTAGGAGGGCACCAGGCTGCCCACGTACACGGGGTTGCAGAACGACTGGGGGAAGCCAGGAAGGACAGGGAAGGGGTGAGTGGACGGGAGAGGGATCTCACAGGCCCTGACAGGCGGGCACGGCCACCATCGTGTCCTGTTCCTCTCTCTCCTCCGTCGTGCAGCAGCCCCAGTGAGGGGCTGGTGGCAGGGGCACACGTGGCAGAACCACAGCTCGTGGCCTTGCCAAGACAGGGGAGCACCAGGACAGGAGAAATCAGCTCCAGCCATTTGCCTTTGTCTAGGGCTAGTCCCACATGGGGCTGGTTCCCCAAATCTTTGCTGGTGTCAAAGCCTGTTCTGCCCTGGGCATGGGGACCATCACCCACCACCGTCACCCCTGATGGCAGGGTCCTGGCCCAGGCCTCTGCTCGCTCCCTGCTACTCACCGATGCCGAAACCGCGAGGTGCATCACGACAACGGCCGCGATCTCCCACCAGCGCCGGTTCTCACAGCCGTGGAAAAAGAGGATCCCCCAGAAGGTGTGAAGGAAAATCAGCACCATGGTCATAAAGGCTGCAGGGACAGGCACAGAGGGGAGAGTCACCGGCCCCGACCTGGGGGCTTAGGCTGGGTGAGAGGAGCCAGGCGAGGGAGGGCAGCAGGGACACTGCTGGGGACACCCTGGGGGAGGAGGGACAGGAGCAGGGAGAGTAGCAGGGTACAGAGAAGGGTTTGGTGCAGGACGATGTTGCAGGTAGGGGCTCTAAGGGACTAGGATGGGTAAGGGCAGGGATAGCAAAGTGCAGAACGAAGGGCAGAGGACAGGGCACTGTGCCCATCACACGTGGGGTGCAGTCTCTGTGACGGGCGCAATGGAAATGATAGACGTGTGGGACAAGGGCCAGGCCTGTCACTCACCTGAGGTCAGGAAGTAGAGCTGCGAGTCCCCATAGATGCCCACGGTGCCCGGCCCCAGTGCGTCTGCCAGGAGGTTGATCATGGAGAAGGCACCGCTCATGAGCCCGAAGCCCACGCCAGCCACTGCCAGCACGGAGACATGGTCAGGCCCGGGGCACCCGCAGCCTTGCGGGGCCACCGCACCCAGGCACTCCCCAATGCCAGGCTCTGTTGGCACGAGAGCCCTCCCTTTCCTCTACCAGGAGAGCCATCCCGTTGCACAAGCCCTCCCTTTCCTCTTGGCAGGAGCCCAGCAATGCCCGAGGGCCCAGGCGCACCCGGCGGGGCCACCCCCGGCTCCGCGCCGAGCCCGCCACTCACCGTATGCCATCTGCTGAATGGAAATCGGGGAGCAGCCGTCCTCGCTGAGGGCCACGAGCCCCTCGATGGCCTTCCTGCAGAGGGAGAGCACGTTGGGCCATGGCTGGGGTGCCACGAGCCAGGATTTTACGTTCCAGCCGCCCTCCGGCAATCTTGCGGAAGGAAGGGCGCAGCCGCGACGCTGCCGGGTCCCTGACAGACACCTGCCATCGCGCCCGGTGACCCAGCGCCGGGCTCACGGGGGTCGCTCGGGTATCGCTGGAACGCGGCAATAAATATTTACGGCAGGGCTGACAAACCCCGCAAGGAGGGTGACCAAGGGCAGCGGGAGCGGCGCTCCGCGTGTTCCCGCGTGTTCCCCTTGCTGGAGTGGCAGCGAGTACTGAAAGCGCCATGGAGAGGATCCGTGGGGCCTCCCTAGTTCCCTGACAAGCCACGCGCACAAAAATAGACATTAGTGAAGGCAAATCCAAGTATGTCCCACACAGGGAGCTGCCTGCGAGCCAACCCTACAGACCAAGGGCAGGGGAGAGCAGAACGGGCAGCGTCCCTGCGTGATGCTGTGGCTGCTGTGGACGCACCCAGAAGAAGACTGCACCCACTCTTTGCAGCTCTATTTCTGGAGGTGTTAGGAAAAATAAGGAGAGTGTGGAGAAGAGCTCAAAGAGCCACAGAAATCGCTCTGGGCCTCGGGAGCCCAGCCTGGCGGGAGGGAGAGAGGGAGAAACAGCCAAAGCCTCCTCAGGCTGAAGAAGAAAGCAGCCCTGTATGGGGCTGGACTCTGGGGAATGCCAAGCCCGGGTCTGTGTCCCGCCGGGAAAGCCACGGAGCTCTGCTACCCTCTGCCTCCCGGCTGCAGCAGCGCGGGGCCGAGCGCTGCCACTCGCGTTCCAGCCACTGGCCCAACACGGGCGCTGCTCTGATGGCACCCCTGCCACAGTTGGCAACTTTCCCGAGCCAGGACCTATCCCAAGTCCCTGTCTCCAGGCTGCCAGCCTTTCCCTGCCTCGCTCTTGCTCCCAGTCCTTCCTGCACGCTTATTCCCTGCGCCACGCTGCCTGGCGAGGCAGGAATGCTGGGATCCCAGCGACTCCCTCTGCGCATCCGCATCTCCCGTCCCAAAGCAGCAGCGCAGCCTGCACGGCCCAGGCCGCATCCCAGGGAGCCGCAGCCTTCCTGAGGCTGCGCCCAGGCTTCGCCCTAGGCCAGCCTGGATGCCGGGCACGGGGCAGCGGCTGCTCCCGAGGGGAATGACCTGCCCAGCAGCTGGCAGGGCTGCCCTGGCTTGGGAGCTGGTCCCGAAGGGGACAGCCTTGTCCCTGGGGAGGCACCCGCACCCCGACACAGAAACACAGGGCAGGACCAGGAGGCTCTGGGAAAGATTCCAGGCCAGGCCCTATGTCCAGGTTGCTGGATCAGGTCCAGCTGGCCTTGACACTTGCGAAGCCCCTTTGCTATTTTAGGAAAGGGCAAAGCGATTCCTAGCAGAACAGCTCGTGTCTCTGGGCCCGATGGGGCAGAAATTCCCAAGGAAACCCTTGCTAAGGCCCCTCTCCCCGGGCAGGGACACAGGGCCCTGCAGGCACTGCCCTCCAGCAGTGCCACCCTGACTCCTGGCCACAGCTCGTCCCAGCCAAGGAGCCTAGACCCTCTCCCAAAGGTGAGGGACTGCTCGAGCCCCGCCAGAACACCCAGGGTTAATGCACCCGGGTCTCAGGGGAACAACCCCTGGCCCTGCTACCGCCGCCCCTCCACAGAGCACCCTGAAGGTGGCAGCCAAGGCCGTGGAGAGCAGCGGGCGCTGCTGTGGGTGGCACCGCGGGTGCCGGCGGGTGGCACCAGGCCAGGGCACAGTCACACAACCCGCCGGCACCTCCCCGGGCGCGGGGCGGGACGCAGAGCGCGACGTGCGCCGGCCCAGACGGGCACCCCGGCCAGGGCGCAGCCCGGAAACCACCGCCAGGCTCCTCCTGGCAGAGCCGAGGGAAGGACAACCCTCAGGAAAGAACACTGGTAAACACCGCGGGTAGATCCGTGATCCTCCTCCACTCACACAGCAAAGGAGAAGTGTTTCTGCCTGGCATCCCACAGACGTTGTCCAAACTATGGGCACGCTCTTGGATCTAGATAAAACAGCCTGCTGGGAAGGCGGGACAGAAATCCTGTAACATCCCCCTAGCAGCTTGGAGTCACAGCCTCCCTGCTCATAGGTTTGTACCTATTTCATAGGTAAAAACCTTTTTCATAGGTTTTAGACATAGGTTTAAGCTGTAAGAATCTTAGTTTCCTAAGAAATGCTGCCTGAGAGCCTGAGCCGAGCTCAGGATGCAGAGAAAAAAGGCGAGGGCAGAGCTACTCCATCCCCAGAGCCCGGGGCTCCCTGAGCTATTTGCCCAGGGGAAATCCGAGCTGCCCCTCTGGTACAATCCCAGGGCCCCAAAGGACATGCCAGGACTCGGGAAGCACAGACACCCTCCAGGCCTGGCACAGCGAGAGGGGAGCTGCCGGGTGACCGGAGAGCTTCCTCCTCGTGCCGGGCCAGCGCACGTCCCTTACCTGAGGAGCTTGTAGTAGAGAAAGCGGAAGGCTTCCTGCAGCAGCACGGAGAACATCACCCCAAATATGAGCAGCCCCTTCTGCAAGGGCTCATCGTGGGGGTCGCTGGCTTTAACGGCAATGAACCAGATGAGGGAGGAGAGCAGCAGCGAGACGAGCCAGAAAAAAGCCCTGCAAGAGAGGAGGGGTTGCCAAACACCGAGCATCTGCCCTGCGCTCCACGGACACCATTCCTGCCTCGGGCAGCAGGGCTCCTTTCCGTGCCCAAGCAGCACGGACAGAGCCTGGAGCTGGGCAGGCACCCGCGGGTGCCCATCTGCAGAGCCCGGGCTTAGCCCTGGCTTTGCACTGGGCGAGGAGCGTCCAGGGCAGCCACTGTCCTGCACCGAAAGGCTAAAAACACAAAACATGTCCAAGCGGAGCGGGAAGCCCATTCCCTGTGTGCCCCGGGAGGGCACGTGGCACACCGGAGCGGCGTCCCAGACATTCCCGGGCAGTGCTTTGGGCACGGACGCCAGGGAGCTGGGGAGCTGAGCCCCGGGCTGCCCCTCTGTCCTGTGATGCTGCCCAGGGCGCCCGCCCCGTCCCCGTGGGACCGACCCATGGCCGAGCAGGGGCTCCGAGGGCTCCTGGCGCCGCTGTGCCTGGCCACGCGGAGCTGCTCCGCGAGGGGCCGGGGACGCGGCCCGGCCTCCCCGGTGCCACTCGTGACGCTGCCGCCGGGGCTCTGCCGGTCACGGGCACAGCGGCACCGCTGCGGCTGCTGCCGGAGCCCCTCAGCACAGGCAGAGAGCGGCGCCCATGGGGCCCGAGTCACACACCCCCACTGGCACCGGGGCGGTACCGGTACCGGTACCAACGCGCTGGCCGTGCCCCGTCTGCACTGGCACCAGCGCCGCTCCGATACCAGACCCAGCTGCGGTACCGGTGTCGGGTCTGCGCCCCCCTGCACCGGTACCGGCCACAGCCGCCCTGTTGTGCACACGCTGGTACCGGCTCCAGGGCCCTGCTGGTGCTGCCAGCACCGGTACCAGTGCTGGTGCCCACAGTGCAGTACCAGACCCACCGCCACAGCACGACAGTGCCTGGACTGGGACCAGCACCGGTACTGGTACCACTGCCGTGCCCTTGACGGTACCAGTGCCCAGTACCGGTACCAGTGACACTGTCATGCCCATGCCGGTACCATGACTGGTACCAGTGCCCAGTACCGGTACCAGTGACACCG